GCGCGCCCGGGGCGGCGCGTCGGGGGGGCCCCGCCCGCCCCAGCCACTCTCCGTTTCCGGCAGACACTGAGGCCGCCCACGCAGACCCAAAGGCTCTTTTAAGAGCCACTCCATGCACAACAAAGAGAGCTGTGACACTGCTTTTAGGGGTCACGTTTTAGTAATAACAATGTTGTCGTGATACTGTTTTTTTTTCCTATACTGTAGCATGTGATTTGACGGTGACAGCCCTGTTTTTGCTTTTGTGGTGTGTTTTTTTTCTCCTCATATTTTATTGCATTACCTGTGTTTAAATATTTGTCTTTTATAAACCCCACAAGGTTCTAAATTTCTTGCTCTGCTAGGGGTGCTTTGCAAATACTGAAGAGGAGTAACAGGCACTTCATGAACACTGGATGGGGGAGGAGAGATGAAATTTAAGGGGGAGCAGAGAGGTCAAAATGTTAGTTTAAAGGCAGTAAGCAGAGAACATCAGGCAAAATGAAGAGGTTTTTACATTGATATGACTATGCTGGACTCAAAACAGCTTTGAGGGAGAGGATGGGAGAGGGGAGTGAGCAGACACACTGCTCTGCCCCGAACAGGCTCGGGCTCAGGAACTCTGTGCCTTAAAATCTCCTGCCTGGCTAAGTCTAGGGAAGAGCAGAAACTTCCTGCAGCTCACTACAATTGTGTTACTGTTGAACCTGGCTAAGGCGGTCTGTTCTAAAGGAGGCTACTGCTTTGCTTCAAAATTTGTCAATGCTGGCAGCAGAATAACTGTCTCAAAAGACTGGTTTTGAGGCCAGTCTTGGTGATGCAAGACCATGCTGAAGAGACAGGGTGTATGAGGTTTCTTTCGCACAGCACAGAAACATATTTTAAAAGACCAATAAACTCTAATTGAAAAATACTCTACACAGGAATACTTATCAATTTTTGTCCAGATTTGTTACCATTAACAATACAAAACAGTGGAAAAAAGTTTATGTATTCCTATGTTGTTGTTGAGGGGGTTTTCTAGGGTTGTTTTTTTGTTTTGGTTTGTTGGGTTTTCTTTTTTTTGGGGGGGGAGGGGAGCAGGAGGTATTTTTAAAGAAAGTTTTATTAAAATGTTGGAGTGAAATTTAGTGTGTTCTTCCAACAATAAGTCTACATGTATTTGTCTTTGAACTTGCACTTCTCCAAGTATTTATCACAAGATTTTGTGCAGTCAGAAAATATACTGAGTTGTATGATTTCTACAGTCAGATTTCTAGGACTCTTCAGAATATACGGGCAGGATATATGGATGGATGTACATAGCTTTCAACCTTTCTTGTAACAACCCACCTTCGTTTGAATTGTTACTATGAGACATGCACACCAGTCTAACAGGATCCTGAGCATTAAAACAAGAAGTTAAAAAATCAGGCCTCAGATTGAAAACCGGGTGGAGATTTTGTTTCTCCCACTGTTTTGGGAAGTGTCTTCCCATCTGTGAAAGCTCACAGTTGGTATCTGGGGTGTAAGAGTCCTGAGTGCTGGGTAGCACTAAAGGGAGTTGTTAGAGGGCAGAGCGGCCACCTGTTGTCATTAGAGGCTTCTGAGCACCATCTGCACTTGTTCCCTCAGAGGTGCTCACTGCACAGTAGGCATGATCTGTCAGAGACAGCACTCGGGTAGAGGAGAAAAGAAAGTGGAGAGACCTGCTGAGTGCAGCAATCAGCCCAGGTTAAGGTTTGTTTAGGGCTTTCTTTGTTTTGTTTTGTTTTGGTTTGGTTTTTTCCCACATGAAGCCCTCCAAATGAGTTTGCTGATCTTCCCCATCTTATTTTGAAACTGGGTTGCAATAGAAGTAAAGAGCTGCAGTGTCACCAAGTAATGGATGGAACATTTGCACAGTCTGTAGTGAACAGAGGAGCTAGTCTTTTTTTTTTGATTTTGTGTCTTTCAAACAGATTTTTTCTTTAAATATATTTCACCTCTACTTAATTGTATGTAATTTAAAAACTTTTCTGAGTATGTAGTGAATTGGAATAAAAGAAAACCAAAAGAAAAACGATACAGACAGAAAATATTGGCTTGCTTTGGAATTAGAGTTTTATATTATAGCATAACTAAGATTTCTGCTTGTCTTGAAAGGCAGCAGGAGACTTGGCACTTACAGCCTGGGAAGCAAAGGAAACCTTCCAATAGGCCATACAAACCTTCCATAGGCCTGCTCCAGTTGTCCTAGAGCATATTTAATGTTAACCAGAGAGGGAAAAAAAAAAAAAAAAAAAAAAATAAAATCTGTCTTTGTTCTAACAAGTACCATATTGTTAACACAGTCAGATCCTATCCAGACCTTTTTAGAAATTTCACTGGATAGTACTGATAGATGGCCTGGGAACACAGACAAGATATTGAGTACTTATTAGTCATGATGAATAATTTCTTCATTCACTTTTGAGAGCAGGTATTGCAGCCTGGTATCAGTGAGGTCTCCTTACAGAGCCTGGGTGTGCATTAAGAAAGATTGTTTTTTCTCCACCGCGTGACCTTACAATTTATTTACAATTGTAACAACCACGAGACTTTAGCCATTTTAACCTTTGGTAACCTTGAAGTGGTGGCTAGCTACAAACTTTCATTCCAGTTAGTAATATGTCACCAATGTGCAACAATTAGAATTAGTATGGCACCTACTGAAGTATCACAGTGTAACCAGACATAGAGTTAATTTTAAAATTATAATCATATAATTCCTTTCAAAATAAACTTACAAGCCATTCCAGCAGGAGTACTTTCAACTTGATAAAATTTTCACCCCTTACTCTGCAAGTGGCGATGTACAAATTGATGAACAGAACAGATTAGTCCAGGGCCCTACAACAGTCATATAGTCCAACTGTGAAGTAGCTTCTTTCATTTCATCTACCATATGGTATTGTTGGAATGACAATAAAGCCAGGTAGTGCTAGGGCAGAGGGGACTGGGAAAGAGACAGGATGCATACTAAGAGGAATTAAAATTTGTGAGTGAAGGAAAAGCATATATATGTTCACAAATACATATAGAATATGTACGCATACGTGTGTGTATATACATCCATACCTACATCATTCTGCTAGGAATATTTCTTGTACCTACTATGTTCTACCTTTCTGAAATACACACTATGGAATTTTTGCAAGGTTCCTCAGGTGCTTTAATCAAACACCTGAGTTTTCATTTCAGAGCAATTTGGCTGGTACCATGTACAGAAGCATATGGGATGGGTCAGATTCCATTACGAGAAGCAGAGGAAAAGATGCTGTGGCAATAAAGAAGCAGAAACCATAAAAACATGAATGTTTTATTTGTGAATGAATGGAAAAAATGACTTTTCTGAAATATGAAAACAGCTAAAGTCTGCAAGACTTGACACAATCAATCAAGAAATTGAAGTGAACTAAAGGCCAACTAATTTCCTAATTTTGTAAAGCTTCATTGAATGGACTAAATTCTAGTAAATGTTGAACCTTCTGATCCCCCCATGTCTATTCCTCCACTGACTCCATCTTCTTTTTATCATCAAACACAAAAAGCTTGCCCTCAATTCTCTAAAACAGATAACCATATCTCCTACGGGCCTCTCATTGGGTAGAAAGCTGCCATGGCTTGACAGACGCTTTCTTTCCCCCAGCTCTTTTAGTCCCAAACAAAAGCACAAAAGCCATGAAACGCTCCTGTGCCAGTGCTCTCCATGTATTTGGCAAATGGGAGGGTGGATTTCCTAGGAGCATCCACCAGATTCTCTTTGCTTTTTGCAAGTTTTCCTTCCTCCTCCTACTCCAGCCTTTCCCCAAACTCGTAAACAAAGAAAAATAAGAATTTAACATCACAGTAAGACTAACTTGTTGAATTTCTCATTTTCATCCCTTGTTTCAGTCTTATCTTATTAGCACATGTTTTATTCATCTCATACTAAGGGAAGCAGGGCTCTTGGATAACCAACGCAGTGTTAGGATTTTTACGGTATATCCTAGTAAGTGAAATGATACTGTATATTTACATCAATTGTTCTATAATAAAAAGCTGTTTGGAGCTCATCTTCCAGTACTAACTCAGGTCATGCCTTTCACATTGCTTGAAAGTAAAAATCTGCACCGGTCCACAAAAATATTGCAAAATAAAATATTTTACAGGAAGTATCAAGCCTGGGGAGAGAGCAGGGGAAGTATTATCGTAGGCTTTCTGTACTAGTCTTTATTTTTTAAGTAAAGATTGCAACTGTTGTCATGATCATTAAAATGAAAATTATTTTTCAGTTGCCTTATCTGAGCACTCCTATTTCTGATTTGTGTAGTTATTTTTTCTGCACAGTTAATTAGATAATCCCTTCAACGTAACAGCATACTCAGAGTCAAGTGGTTTGAGATGGTGGTTTAGCAAGTGTTATAAACATGTTTTCACTAGAATTGCAGTATCGGATTGCAAAGATCTCGACAACCTTCAGAGAAACCAGCCAAGCACAGAGATGAGGAGTGACAAAAATGAATTCTATGAGTATTAGTACTTATAAAACAGTCCCCAAAACTTACACTACCTTGAAAGAGCTCTAGGACGATTTAGGCTCGTATCCAACTATCAAAACAGACCGCGTCACAGCTCTTTTGTGTAATGTGGTGGCTCTTAAAAGAGCCTTTAGGGTGCGGGGACGAAGGGCGGCTGGGGCGGCAGGAGCCTTATGCACGCTCGCCGCGGATGCGCCGGGCCAGCTGGATGTCCTTGGGCATGATGGTGACGCGCTTGGCGTGGATGGCGCACAGGTTGGTGTCCTCGAAGAGCCCCACCAGGTAGGCCTCGCTCGCCTCCTGCAGCGCCATCACGGCCGAGCTCTGGAAGCGCAGGTCGGTCTTGAAGTCCTGCGCGATCTCGCGCACCAGCCGCTGGAAGGGCCGCCTGCCGAGCCA